AATCATTCTTCCCCTTTCTCCTTTTAACTTAACAATTCATTGGTTTTGGGGCAATTAGTAATGACAAACTGTTGGCAATGATCCTGATAGATAGAGGTTATTATCAATCTATTAGAGAAGTAAAATATTGTTTCTAAAATCTAACTTAGAGTACTTTTGTATGAAAACGAGTTGGGCACTTTGTAAAAGTCTGTAAAATATTGTAAATTCATTTTCAATTTTTCAATAAAGATATGTCATTGTGGCATGTTGCGGGTTAAAATATATATATATATATACTGACAATTATTGAGGAAGTTCTAAAACCAATTATTTTAAGTTTACTTAAAGAAGTAAAATCATTTGTTACCAATATTGGATCATATCTTCTTGATTACAAAAATAAAACTATTGCAAGATATCTCTTTGAGTTTCAAACTATACAAGTATGGAAAGTTTGGTTTGAAAGGAGATTAATTTCTCTTCATATTCTGAAAAATGATAGTAAAGTAAAGTCTAACCAAGGAATTTTATTTTCTTTTGCATCAATATAATGCAATTGATCACTAAATTAGAATATTTAATAGCATGTTCAAGTTTGTTAATATAAGGTAATTTTAAGAAAATTGTGATATAGAATAAAGGAATTAGTGATAAATTATTTGTTAAGTACTGTATATCCATTTAATAATGAACAGGAACTGATAATCAGTTGAACAAGTCATTATATAAAATAAAATTGAAATAGATTAATTATTAATAGTGCAACCTTAAAATATATTTAAAAAATGTTTATATAGAAAAGTTCCTATTAAAAATATTCAAACTTAATTATCAATAATTAGCTGCAAGAAAATTGGACTTATTTAAAATAGATATTTATTTTGAATAAAAACCCAAATCAACATGAATCTCTATATAACCCTATTGTTTCAATAAAGAATAGTATTCAAAATATTTTTTTAAAAATCAAATAATACATATAATAATCTGATTGTATAATCATTCTAATCAATTTATACTATTTATAAAAACTATTGAATATTATTCAAGATCTTAAACAATTGTGATAATAGTACTTTCAGGAAAATTTATTTCAAAATTTTCATTACTATTATCACATAATTAAACACATCTATGAAATCTTTCAAAACAATTCAAATTAAATTTATTTAACAAAGTTTTTATCTATGAACTATCTCTTTGAAATGACTAATAAAATTTATCAAAATGATTTTATTTTCTATATAAAAAACTTGACTTAGAGAACTTTGTCTTTTAAGAAAAAAAATATATAATAAAAATAGTATTTAATACTATTGGATAATTATTTTTAATCATAATTTTTATTTTATTTCTATTTTTGTTTGTTTGTTTATAATTATTTCTGTAATATTCTTTAATATTCTTATTGGTACTTAATTAATATAGGTCACTTTATCAAATGTAGTATATAATATAATTTACCATAAATTAAATAGCCTTAAAAATCTAGAAGGCTCAAGTAGTTCAAGTAATATATTTTTACAAGTATATAAATAGTCATAATTTGCTCAAAAGTAGGATAAGTTTTAATTATAATTTTATCTGAGTTTTTGAAGATTGGATATCATCTTCTGATTTTAGAACTAATGAAATTGTTCTAATTTTCTTGATTTATTAATAAACTTGAGTTCGAAACAAACCATATTTCTTGTTAAATATTATGTGATACTTTTAAAGAATTTATAATGAATCTATTTTTTGATATTTTTTTATTATTATAAACTACTTTTTGAATTCTTTCTTTGAAAATTGTTCTTTTAAAAACAATTTTACTTAGACACATCGATTAAATATAAATTTAATCACAATATTATCAAATATTTATTAAATAGTTTTGATAAGTAGTTGATGAATTTTAATAAATAGTTTTAATAAAAAGTTAAGAAATTTAATAAATAGTTTTAATGAATAGTTAACAAATTATTAATAAATTATTAATAAAATTTTCTAATAAATTACTTATGAATTTTTTGATAAATTGTTATTAAATTATAAATATATTATTTTTTTTAATATTTATAGTCAAATTATATCATTGCTTGTTTATTTATATTATTAATTTGATAAATTGTTTATTTTTGCTAAATGTTATATAAATGACAATATGCTGAATAATTTTTTTTTTTGACTAATATAAGCTTAGAAAAGTTCAGTAGTAAAATTAATAATGAAACTTTACTTTTTATACAATGTTTATATCACACAATAATCACTATTTAATTCTTGTTTAAAATAACCAACATAATTTAATCTAATGTAATTTTTTTATTGTTGCATTACTTATTGTATTTCAATTACCAATAATATGGTTTTACTTGAATATAATAACATTTTTTATAGAATATTATTCATTTTATAATCACAACCTTGTTATAGTCACAGATTTAATGATCACCAAACCAGGTCTGACTGTGTATTGTTAATATTTAGCAAAATAAAATTTCGCACAAATGTTAAATTAATCGCTATTAAGGAAAGAATAATCAATTATTTTGGAATTGATCATCAGGCAATTCCTAAGAAATTTAAAAAGAATAAGTCAGGTGATTTTGCAAAAGATTTGTTCAATCATAGCTTGCAGAACCCACCAGTTTTTTTCTTTGTTCCTTCAGTTTTCTGCTTGACATAACATATGCGTATAGTGGAGTTGTGCAGGGGTCCACATCTCGCAAGAATGCCTTCTGCATATTAAATAAATTTTAGGCTTCAAGTTACGATATTCTAGAAGATGGGAAAACTTACCGTTTGGGCAAAGTCATTAGGACTAAAGTCAATTTGCGACCGGTGCTGTTCAATATACTTTGAATTTTGTTCCAACTATTATTAGTAATATCAGAGATAATAATTAGCATTCAGTGAACTCGATGAATCATGTTTTTTGCTGGAAGCAAAACTATAGAATCACACCCACACCTTTTCAACCAATTGTTGAAGTTGTTTATTGAGCTTAAGATTTTTGGAATTTTTGATGTGTCGTTTTATCTATATGAATATAGAAGGTAGCATGAATATATATATTTGTGTAGCCGAATGATTATAGCCACCATCAGAAATACCTGAACTATCGGCGGAATTACCAATTCAGGAAACGCGATTGACAAGCAGAAACACGAATAATATTCGAACAAGAGCTCCACGAGTTCTTCGCAAATGCCATCCTTAAAAAGTTGCGAAAATTTTTTTCAGAACGAATAATCATCAAAGGGAAATTTTCATCTGCATAAATTAACTGATCGAGAAGAACCTGATATACTCGAGTATGCAAATAACTCTTCGGTGCTTTTATTATGGACGCAAAATCCAATGGCTTCAATGTGCTGGGTTTTGGTTTTCGTCGTACTTCAGCGGAATGAAAAATGTCAAATAAATATGGTGCCAAGGGGATAAATGTTCCGGTATTTTGAATCAAATGGATCAGAGAACGAATACAATGAAATTGAAGCGGAAAGTATTGTGCAGTGGGAATCAATCTGCAATAACAAAAGACGATTCTGGTCAGTATCGAGGAAGGAAGATGGCGTCAGGGACGAATTATAACTATACCTTATGACTCCAGTGGTAACTTGAACAAACGGATAGATCAATTCTTTTAAGGAATTTTCGCCACTAACTGATATCCGATATTGATTGCAATAAGTCGCCAATACTTTCGACCAATATTCGATACAGTGAACGTACTGCCAATTATACACCGCGTTGAAAGTTGCCTAAATTAAGAATCAATAATTAGAAGCGAGATCATAGGGCCATCGAATCATCGTCAGATATGTCAAACTAATCATCATATCAACCTCACTCTTGTTGTGATTGGAATTTCTCAAATGAATGGCCAACTGTCTAATGTAGCCAAATGCAGATTGATAAGAGCTCTTAAGGTCAATTCCATAGATTTCAACAGCGCAATTCCTCATTAGATTTATGGAAGGTATGGTGAAGGCTGTGGTGTCTTTGCAGTATCGAACGAATGTGGTGTAAATTCCCTGAATGTATTCATGTGATGTTACTAAATAATTCAGTTGAGAGATTAAAATTGAGAGTATCAAAACACCTTCAAGCAAAGGTCAATAAACGGCGGTGGCACGGTGGATGCAAGTCTTCGAATGTTAAGGAACGCAATTATTCTGGTTTTATCCTCTGCGGTCCCCCAAATATCAAGTAATTGCTAAATGGTTTAGAATGCTAAATTCATTATTACACGCGACAGGGCTTTCGAGAAATTAAACCAATTTATTAATACCTTTAAATAATGACTAGCCAACTTTTGGTAGCATGCATAATAAGGGATTGCTTTTTCGGATTCCTTCACGATAAAGTAAATCATATCGTCTTCGGTAACTTGTTTAAGCATATAAAGGAGGTTGCTTAAATAGGATTTCACGAGAGGTTCGACGAGTTTCCACTTGCGGTGCGTACATAAAAGCTTCCCGCTATTTCAATTAAAACGCATAATTATCATATGTTACATTATACTTCAAAGGAGTGTACACTCAATATTACCTTTTAGGAGTTTCTTGATTTTTCACATTCAGACGATGATCAAAAACCCCCGTAACATATTTTAGGCAAACCACAACCAAATTGTTGAATACTGTGTCAAGGTAAATAATGTGAATGATTGTCTATGACAGAGACGGTTAATTGATTATACGAAAAATCACCTGCAGGATCGGTAATTCTAAATGTATGGGTTTTTTCGTCTTCATCATCATTAATGTGAGCTGCAGCGCGAAAAGCCAATAATAGTTGTTTTAAGGATTTCAATGACCTGGACTAAAATCGACAAGAGTATGAGGATGTGAGCCGGATTTTTTTCTTAAAAAAAAAAAAAAAAAATTCTTTCCCTAATACCTCGGTAATGGATTCTTGCCACTTGGTGATCATTTCTGCGGTCAATGTTGGGGTTCCAATATCATCTTCAAGGCCCGCTTCTTTCAAAGCCATTGTCTCTTCCTCGTCAGAATCATCTAATTTCATTTTCTAAGTATTAATTGAAAAGTTATGAATCGAGAGGGTTACAGGTTACATAAATAATATTAATAATCGCACGGCAAGACGCTAAAGAGCCATGTCTATTCTTCACATATAATATTACTTCTTTCTTTTCGCCCTCCTCGCTATCGTCGTCGCCGTCTTCATTCTCATCATTACTATCATCCGATACATCAAAATCCAGCAATTCGGAATCGTTTTCTTGGAGATATTTATAAAATTCCGAATCCTTTTCCTTTAGCGAATCGAGCTGCTTCTTGTGCTCGGCGACTTCTTCGTCCAGTGAACGTTTATTCTTGTGTGTAGGTTTATTATCACTTTCATCGTCACTAGTTTCTTCCTCCGAAGATTTGGCAAGATCAGAAAGATTGAATTCGTCTAAAGATTCATCTGTTTCGCGCGATTCATTTTCCTCTCCTTGTCCACTATAAGAAACATAGGAAGTTACTTTTCGAATTCTTTTTTTTCTCGATTGAATATACCGAATTTCTTAATTAAATGTCTTTTTTTTTTTTTTACTTCAAAAATTCTTCAAAGTCTTGTTCTTCCCCGCTATGCTCGTCGAATTCGAATAAATTCTCTTCCTTCTTTTTACTTGTTTTCTCTCCATCAACGTCGGTTATGTTATTTTTCCTTTGCTGCTTTCTCAAGATTCCTTTCCTTACTTTTTTGTTCTGATTTCTTCTTTCGACTGTCCGTTTTAAATGGTTCTTTTGGAATTTTTTAACCGATTTCTTGATTTTAACCATGTTCTCTTTTCGAAATGTGTGCACATGCTAAATTTTATCAAACACGTGAAGTAGATCAATCTAATACTTATCAGTATCGATCATGTGCAAAAAAAAAAAATTTTTTTTTTTCGAAATTTGAATTTGCACACAATGGGTCGAAGAGCCAAGAAAAAGCAAGGGGAACCTGAACCACTGTTGATTTCATCAAGGGCTAATCCGCGGGCGCGAAAGTCACCCAAGGAAAAGGCTTCAGGTGAAAAGAAAAGAAAGTTGGGGGACATAACAGACATAACAACAGACGGTCAAGAAATTGAAAGGAAAACCTCAAAAAAGGTCAAGGCCACCTCAGACGAAAAAGATCTCGGAAAGAAGTTTGTAAAGAAACCGAAAAATGAGGCAACTAAACTTTCCAACACGACCGAATCCAACATAAAGAGACAGAAGACTAAAATTTCTAGTGGTAAGCAGACCGATATTAGTCGAAAAAATTTATTTTCCATTTTGACTTACACACTTTTTTTTGCCGTGCGCCTAGGGAATTATGATACAAAAAATGGTTCCGAGAATGGATCAAATACCAAGATCCCTGAAACCTCAGGTATAATAAGACATATCGGTTTATGCGCGGTACAATGTCTACACAATAACTGAAATCTTATTCCCGTTCATAATTTCTGAAATAAATGATCAGACGACGAGAGTAAGCCGCTCCCGAATTCTCATGATGAGGATGAGAAAGGCGAGATTTTTCAGCTTTTGGTAAATCTTTGATTCTTTAACTGCATGATGATTTGTTCAAATTATCGTTTACCGTAACTTCTTTTTTTTTGCACATAAGGATGACGATTCGGACGATGGTGATTCGGAGGTCAGTGAAACGTGCCGCTTCCTATTAGATAGTAGCATCTGGTCACAATATACGAATGGTTTGATTGGGGGTGCTCACTTACTTCTGTACCAAAAATTATACGTAAAATGCGGTCAAACCTTTAATAAAATGATCAATCGGAATATATGCAATTCTTCTAAAGCTTGATATCGAAGAAAAATCGCGCATTTTGGATGAGGAAAAAAGGAAGGAAGCAGAGTTGGCAGATGACGAACTTCAAACAAACATTGAACAAACGGAAAAATTTACATTGCCAGTTAATCAAGACACCGAGGAAGGGCAGACGGTGACACCAGACTTGCAGGTTGTTAATCAGCGCATCCAAGATATTGTAGGCGTTCTTAATAACTTCAAGAAGTTGGGCGATGAGAAGCGGTAAGGCAAGGCTTAACCTCGCTTCATTATTATTCTTCTTCTTGATGCTCATGGATTTATTCCCCGGTAATAACTAGTGGACGTTCGGCTTACGTGGAGCAGTTGATAAAAGACATGACAGTGTATTACGGTTATTCTGAATTTCTTTTGGAAAAACTTTTTCATTTGTTTTCAGTTTCCGAGGTTTTGTTCGATTGTACTGTTGTCATTACTTAACTGAATTTCTAAAACTTAATATTAACATTAATAATAATAATAATAATAATAATAATAACATTTTATCATAAGGCCATTGAATTTTTTGAGGCCAATGAAATATCCAGGCCGGTCACGATTCGTGCCAATACATTGCGCACGCGTCGTCGAGATCTGGCTCAGGTATCCAAGCTTCCGACTTTAGGTATCCTTGTTAGCAACATATAAAATTAACACCACATTTAAACTCATTAGGCCCTTATTAACAGAGGAGTTAGCCTCGAGCCAACTGGGAAATGGACGAAAGTTGGGTTAACAGTGTTTAATTCCTCAATACCAATAGGTAGGTGAAAATTCTCGGATAATGTGCATTATGTATGTGTTACCAATAAACTTATTCGACGAGTAATTTTCAGGTGCCACACCGGAATACCTTGCCGGGCACTACATGTTACAGTCTGCATCCTCATTTTTACCCGTCATAGCTTTGGCCCCGCAAGAGAATGAAAAAATTTTAGACATGGCATCTGCACCTGGTGGAAAGACCACCTATATAGCTGCATTAATGAAGAATACTGGTATAATATTTGCAAATGATTCGAACAAGGAACGAACGAAGGGTCTTGTAGCAAATGTACATCGGCTAGGGGTCAAGAATGTAGTTGTAAGCAATTATGATGGTCGTGAATTTCCTTCTGTTACCGGTGGTTTTGACCGAGTTCTGTTGGACGCCCCTTGCAGCGGTACTGGTATTATTTCCAGAGATCCTGCTGTTAAGATCAGCAAGGTTAACCAGTTTTCTAAATATTATCATGATCGATTCTAAATGTTCCATCATTAACTTTACGAATATTTAAACTAGACCGATAAGGATTTCAAGATTTTATCTCACTTGCAAAAAGAACTTATCTTGTCGGCAATTGATTCCGTGGATGCCAGATCTTCGACTGGAGGTTATATTGTATATTCCACTTGTTCTGTGACCGTGGATGAAAATGAGGAAGTGGTAAATTATGCCCTTAAAAAACGTCCTAATGTGAAACTAGTACCCACCGGATTGGATTTTGGGCAAGAGGGATTCACAAAGTATAGTATATATATTGTGAAAATATTAAGTGACATACATGTTTTTTTTTTTTTTTATGAATGCGTATTATCTACACCATTTTCCGATCAATTTTACAGATATCGTGGAAAGAATTTTCATTCCTCGTTAAAGCTGACGAAAAGATATTATCCACATGTACACAATATGGATGGATTTTTTGTCTCAAAGTTCAAAAAATTTTCAAATACCTTTTCGAAAAGCAATGATGACGATAAAACCGAAAACGTGAACGACACTACCAATGACAAGAATGGTGGTGCGAAGGAGATTGACAAGGGTATTTCTGCAATTAACGCAGTAAAACATTTTATTTCAAAGATTCGGCTACTTATTACTTATGTCATTTCATCAGGGACCTCCAATGCGACCAATAAGGCGCCTAAGGATAAAAGCATGAAGGCTAGACAAAAAAACAGTAAAGAAGGCGAAACAAAAAAATTGTAAAGTAATGAAAAGAATGGCAAGATAGATCGAAAGAAAAGAAATACGAGCGGCGACGATAATATGAGCGGAGTTGAAGAGACGAATTGAGTCGTCTGATTCATGTGTACATTTATTTATATTTAAGTTGGTATTGAATAAAGTGTGCAAGATTTCTAAACTTAATCGAGAGGGGTTGAATGTTATTCTTTTGCATAATGTCCGATTGCTGGGATTTCAAAAGTAAATTAATAAATTTGGCGTGTTCTCCCCGAAACTATTTTTCAGGATTTAGTTTTGCTTGTCAGTAATGGTGAAAGATCAGAGTATGCTGAATGAAAGTTTTTAAGATCTTCGGATTATTGTTTATGCTTGAAAAAACGATTAGAGCATTTATAAAATATGAGCATATAGGTGCAAAGTAGCTCTTTTAATCAAATATCATTTCAACCGACTGTTCAGGACGACTAATCCGATTAGAGTAGCATATCATCTTTCAGTCCTGCCACTCAATCTTTCAAGTCAAGTGGGATAATGACACGCGGTCAGATTCTGGTTGATATCCAGATAGCCGCCTTACATCCGTTATGCATTATTGCCGACAACGGACCATAAAGTGGCGACTGAGGATGCGTGATTTCAAAAAGTCAACACAGTGATAATGAAACAGAAAACCAAACAATAATAATAATGATGATGACAACGAAACCTTTTGAGCTTCATGATCTATCGCGATATCCAGGTGATGTAATTCATCATCGCGAAACTCTTTAATCACCTTTTGCGAAACACCGTGCATTAATTAATTATGCAGACGATAAATAAACAACCACACGCAAACATATGTATGTATAGAGTATATATATATATATATACATATGTATACATGCGCGTTAAATGGATTGATAAAAACCTTTCTTAAATCGGCAACTTCCTCATTGTCAATATGCAACAACTCTCTCAATTGACTAATCGATCAGCATAGGTAATTAATCTAATGCAATGTACACACTTAACCGTATCAACCAAAGTAAATAAACTTTACTCATTGTAATGTTCTCCGATCACATTTTCCACCGCTTCCGTGCATGCCATGGCCGCCTCTTTGCCCATTAGGGCAGTACCCACTCCCAAGATGAAGCCCGCTGCTTCCCACACCGGGCGCAATAATGTAGGCCTCACTCTATGACGAACGATAATCTCATCAAACGTTTGAAGATGATGTTTCTCTTGGTCCCACATATCCTAGTATATCCGGATGAGAAATATATTCTAATTCTCCTCTACTGGTAATAATTGTTATTGTTATGTACCTGGATCACCGGCCCTACTTTTTTGTCATTTCCTAATACTGCCATTTGTCCTTTGTATATCCAATTGGCACCAATTTCTCCTGCTTGATCAACTCTTATCATGCTTTGAATGAGCTTCTTCTGTTCCTCTGTTAGCGGAACGTTACTTTTTGTTCCAATCGATTCGGACGCATCGGTGGTATATGAGCATACAAAGTAACGATCACGTCTTTGGAGCCTCCTGGGATATGGTCGGATAGCTAAATAGCATAGATTGTTACGGGTGTAGCGTGACAGTTGTTGAAAGAAGACCATTCTTGCGCGTTTAAAATTTGTTTCTATCACATGAAAAGCACTCGGCCTTGCATCACCCATGCAGTTCGACGTCAGTCGTACAACGTATTATTTTGGACGTTTTTGTGCATGGTCAACGCCTTGGAATACGCCATATTTTTTTTTTGTCTTTTAATCATGCTGTAGATTGAAACGTAACACCAATTGTCAAACATGCTTTTGACTATATCGATATGTACATAAAGTGCCATTAATATACAGTATATTCTACTTAAGTCTTTTCACGCGTCTGCCTGTAGGCTAGTTGAGTAATAAACATACCTCGAAAATACCAATCTTCATCCCTATAGTGTTGGTTTCTCTGCCTTTAGATCTGTCTCGGTGTTGTAAATAAATGAGCGATCTTGATCAACATAACAAGAGTTCACACACTCAATACCCAAGGCTACAAACGGAACCCAACGATCGCAACGGTGTGACCCTTTTTTTAGAAGGTGACTCGTACGTGGCAAGACAATATTTCGGTCCTGTCATAGGTCGCCCCGCTATAGTACCGAATATGGATTCTGAGGACACTTCTTCATCAAGCGCTAGCACGACACTAAGAAACGGAAAGCATTTTGATCCTTCTGATAAATATGCCCTGTCGATATCAAATAAAAGATCCTCAAGTAATTCGTTACCAATCAGTGAGGATTCGAGGAGTTTCATTTCCGGTCTGTCTCCGGAAACTCAGAATATCATCAATTCCGTGAGATCCTCTAGTGGCAGCAGTAATGGGGAACATAGAAAGAAAGATGTGCCACGTTCTATGATAGATGAAATTTTGAGGGACGCTAAGTTGAAGGCCGTAAATCGTGCCCTGGAAGGCAACTTGTCAACCTCAAAGAAACTCGATTCGCAACGTTTGAAAAATGTCGAAAGTCATAAGAATGGCGATACGGAGATTAGTCATATGTACAAGACAGCGGATTCAAGAAACCATCTGACACCGGTGACCGACGGGGATGATCATGTGAAGGAAAGTGGAAAGGGCAACAATGCGCATGAGGAATCGAAAAGAGCCAAACTCGAGTCAAGACAAGATTCGGGATCGTCTACCGCCGACGATTTGATCGACGAACAGGCAAGACCCAAGAAAAATAGCAAATCGCAACAGAACGAAGCAATGAAAAATTCAGAAAGCACAACAAAAAATCGTCCTCCTTCACGTATGTCCTTACCAACTCGTCTGGCGAGCTTAATAGGCATTCACACCGGGGAATCCAGTTCAACAAAAGCTGAGAGTAATCGTGATATCGATGGTGCATCGAGCGACGCCACTTACAACGGAGCGATCTCATCCGGGTCAAAAGACGAAATCAATGGCAATGCGACTGCCTCGGTGAGCGCCAACGAAATTTCCAACCTTGGAGAAAAAATCATTAATAAAAGTGCGGTTTCAAATGAGGCAGAAAATTCGAAGAAAGGGCCCGAAATAATTATCGATACAAATAATGTTAAACCTCGTAGGGAACAAAGATACGTGGTGAGATCTCCGGCATCTCCGCGATATACCAAGAAACGAGCGGTAATTCGTCGTGCGAATGTTAGACTCCACTCGAAACATGCTTCCGAAGCTTCGGACGATTATCAGCGAAATTCGAAATCCCCGGTGAAAACCGTAGAGATATCCAATGAGTTGGACGAAATAACCGCGCAATTTCAGGATGCCCTTGGCGAATTTTCGAAAAGATACCAGGACTCAACGGTGGCACTTGCAGAAAAGTCCCATCTCCTGAAGAAAAATCAGGAGCTATGGCACATCCTTGCCGCCAAAGAAGAGGAGATCGAGTGTTTGAAAAATGAGTTATGGGAGGCGGGTAATAAGATTCTAGACTACGAGTCTGACCTCAAGGATATCATTATGCAGCAACAGGAACCCCTTGCGCTCAATCACGAAGACTTGATTCGTATCGAAAGAGAAATCGATGATCAAGAGGTTCTAATTAATGGGTACCAGAAAGAAATTGACAAATTAGTAAACGAATTGAAAAACATGAATGAAAGACTGAAATCTGCTGATAGGGAACAGGATGAGCAACAATCCAAGATTAGCGAACTATACAGAGAGAATGAGAAGCTAAAGGAATTGGCTTGCGAAAGGGAATCTCAGGGGGCCCTTCCCGATAGTGCGGCACAACAGATGGAGGAGATGAAAAAAGAGATTGAGAGGTTGAAGGAAAAAGAAAAATCTAATGATTACAAAGAGATCACTTTGAAAGAGATGGAGGAGCTGAAAAGAGAGCTGAGTGTGTTAAGGGACAGGGAGAGCGAATATATGATCAGTGTTGATGAAATGGAACACCAACTGGCGGAGGCTCGAGAGGAGATTGAACAAATAACACGATCAAGAACGGAGTCGCTCGAAAATTTGACGGAAGAAATGAACTTGATGAAATATAAATACGAGTCAGATATTGAGACCGTGAAGAAGGAGACGGCCTCTAAGGATGCCAAGGAACAGCGCTTTCGTAAATTGCAGGGAGCGCTCGAAAAAATCGAGAACATGGTTAACACTCCGGAAGTGACACAAATCTGCACTGAATTACGAAGATTCAACATTTTACCTCAGAAGAAGAGGCGCAAATCTACAACCGAGATTTCAAGGGACGCTTATGGATATGGTGGCGTCGAAGCTCTTTCGTCCCGCTCTCCCCGTTCGCCCACAACAAAGGCTCTTAGGAGCTCCTCGCGTTCATCAGTGAGTAACAAGTCTCGAGCGAGTTCCATCAGTCGTACCGTGAGCCCTACTCCTTCTATGCAATCTAGCGTGAGCGCGTTGAGTAAAATCGATTTTCAAGATGACATTATGTTTGATAGCGAGGAAGTCCTGGAATTGAGGGAAAAGGTTGCGAAACTTGAAGAAGAAAATAGCTCGTCTCGAGAATCGATGGAGAAATTAGAAGATGAGTTGAAACTAACGAAGGAAATAAATACTAGACTCGAGGAAACGATAGGGAGTCTTAAAAAAGAGCACGAAGAATATAAGGAGCAACACGATCGTAGAATGCGCGAGATGGAAGAATTATTGGTCGCATTCCAATCGGATATATCAGAGACCAATGACGAAGAAAGGGTCGCCGCATCAACCACCGTACCAAACTCTCCGCCGATAGTTCCCGATCCAAATCTGTTGAAAGAATTGGATAGTAAGCAGAGTATCATCGAGGAGTTGGTGGTAAAGCTAAAGAGAAAGGAAGAACAATTGGAGTATTATCAAAACGCCTATCTTGAAAAAACAGAGGAATTGGAGAAATTGGTCGAACGCATACAAGCCCAGGGGGCAGCTGGTGAAGGTCTCCCGCCGATCACGGGATCTAACGGTGATCCCGATTCAGATGGTATTGATACCTTGAAACTTCGTGACGACTCTTCGCCCGACAATGGACTAGGAGACATTTCCTCATTACCAATTACCGGTGACATCATGGGATTTTCGGCCATAGACAAACTCATTGCACAATTAGAGAGAACCATTGTTGAGAGGACAATGCAACGAGATGCAGCTCATCAGAGAGCCACCGATGCCGAGTCAAAATTGCTGGCAATCTCAAGGGAAAAAATGGCGTGGGGAAGTGGATACGATACCACAGTTAAACAGCTCAAAACACAAGTTCAACAATTACAAGAATTATTACAATTGGAAAAGAAAAAAGCCCGGCAGTTCATCAATCCGGTGGTTTCCTCCGAAAGTGAATCTACTCAGGAAAACGGTGAGAAAATGCCTACATCGAATGAGCCAAATCCTCGATCGCAAATCGAACAGAAGCAGTCTAAACCCTTGTTGGATAATAATTCCACACAGTCCACACAGCCATCATCTGACGTGAAACAACTTCGTAGTCAGATCGAATCGCTCGCCGCAGAGAACATTTCGTTGAGAGCTCAGTTAAAAACTTCGGAGGCTGTGAGACGAGCGGTCCATGAGAATACGTTGTCAATTTTGCAACAAACCAACAGTCACAATCTCGCCACCGATGAAGGAGAGTCAGGGTTGAGAAAATTGGCTATGGAAAAAGATGCTGAAGTCAGTGTGTGGAAAGGGAGGTGTGCAGGCTTGGAGCATGTAGTCGAACGTCAGCGTGAAATATTAGCACATGTGGTTCCTTCTCTGAGCGAAGTTCGTGTAAATGGCCATGGTGAGAACACGGGAGGATCATTTGATGATTATGAGATCGACGATGTTAAAGAGTTTGCAGGCCTCGATGAGAACGCCAAGCAATTTATTCAGAAACTTCGCGAGGAAAATGCGTTAATGAAGAAAGCTCTTTCAATAAGACAGCAGCCACCATACAATAAAATTGACGCTGCTGACGACGCGCCACCCAAGTACACACCTTTAGAATCTGTCACGAAATCAACGACGCCTACATCAACTCAGCTTGAATCCCTCGAGTCACAGATTTCCGAGATCGAAGCCCGATTCCTTAAAAGGGAAAAGGAATTACAGGAAGTGATTTCCGAGACCAAACGTCAAGGAGAGTTACAATTAGAACGTTGGAGGGCGAAATGGGGTGCCATAATCGACAAGAAGAATTCCGAGATAAGGGGTTTCAGGAATGAGTTGGAGGCTTTAATGAAATGCTTGGGAAGTCTTGATATGGGAGGTGTCAATGGGACAAGTAATGGAACGCTATCGTAAATCCGACCGCGAAATGTATCGGCAACATGGGTTAGCATTAACAAAGGGTAATGCTCGAAAATGGGAACTGGTTTATTCACATTCAGCTTACACTTGTTTGAAGTGTGTTGCTGTTTATCCAGCGCCCCGAGAGCAGCCACTGTTCTCTTTTGGAGATGCGACAATGTTCTCTTAAACATATTTATTGTATACAATCTAGATTTCTGTAAATTTTTAATTCTTCTTTAATCAAAACTTTGAATACGAAATTTTCGTAATGCTTAATCACGATTGTATTATATAATCTGTTAAAGTTTTGTTTCATTAATGAATTGATGAATCGCTTCACTGTATCCATTATGAAAAAAAATATCCTCGTGCAAAGCATTTTTAAATTCTACCCAAACCTTTGACCTCTTAGACAGTTCATACAATTCTTTCATTTGCTCCTGCGGCACGAGTTCATCCTTTCCCGACGACAGGAACATGATAGGTGTAGTTATTTCTCGAATCGCACGTTTATTGTCCCATTTGTTACGCAACAATAACGGAATATGCACTAAATAGCGATAAGGCAACCATTTTTGTGGATATATAGTAGTGACCATGTCCCCGATAGAGGTAAAGGTATTTTCTATTATAACGCCTTTCAAATCCTTTTGAACATGAGGGTTGGAGGCTAAATGGAGAGCGACCGCGCCTCCTAAGGAATGACCATAAATATAGAGTGGATTTTTCGGGTAAATCTTACGCACAAACTCGTAAATTGACATTGCATCCTTCCGAATGCCAGGTTCAGATGGTGATCCTGTTGATAACCAATAGCCTCTATAACTGATCGCAACTATTTGCAAATCTGGGGCCGAATCCCCCGAAGATAACAAAATTCGTGAAAAGATTGGTATACGTGAAAGGACGTTGCCAGCATTACTGCGCACGAGGTGTAATAAATTGTTTGCACGGAAAAGATTCGGTCAAAAGATGGTAGTCAACCGAGAAGGAAAAAAAAAAAAAAAACGCGATTTACCCTTGGAAGTAAATTAAGATTGGATCTAGTTCACCGCGTTCACTCGAAGACTTACGCTTTACCATGATCCCGAATAATTTATGTTTGTCTTCAGTATCCACAACGACCTTTTGGCATACCAATCGATTGTCAATCAATACTTCGTCAAATGACATTTTTCGACTTCCCAACGGGAAGAATGGCATATATATTAACTTGTTCTGAAATAACACTAACATGATACACTGCAAGGTATCGAATTATAAGAATCTCGAGAAGGAAAAAAAAACCATGCCTAATTCACAATACCTTATAAAGATATACCGAAAAGGGAATTCCAACAAACATGAGAACGGCAGCCTTCCACGGGAAACCGATCACGTCTTGAGAGGTTTCAGTGGATAGTTCGCGTCTGCACATTTCTGATAATGGGCCAAACCTCTTCATTCCATGCGTACTCTTGACCGCTGTCACGCGCATTACGCGAATGTTTCCGTCAGCCACATGCCAATTTCGAACATTTCTAGGCAAAGGTTTGCAAAAGGTTTTCACTCCACGAAAAATTGGCAAATTTATACGTGTCCGAAACATTTTTTTTTTTTTTTTTTAGCAAGTTGATGTAAGATCCAATCAATACATATAACAATAATAGGCTGTTTTATCACGTGATCGCACTCGATTTATGCTAATTAATAAATATTAATAAATATTACATAACATGTGTACAAGGTAACTCCATTAATATACTGAAAGTACTGTTGCCTGAAAAAAGGGACGAATTTTTTTAAATAAAGAAAACAAATAGTAAAGCATTTAATTACTTATTATTATTACCTCAGATCAGAAACCCGACTGTGTGATCAATCATTAATGCTCTGACACCTTTGTCAAACGAGTTTAAAGCTTTAAGTTGTAACATTGTTAATGAAAACCTGAAATGTTTACAGGGAATGTACATAAATGGTTTGAGCAAATGTATTGTGCAAGGTGATAACAATAATACGTTTACAAATAGCTGTTACACTATACTAATGTAACACAAGGTCGTACAAATCTTCTTGGTGGTACAGTATACTCTTTAGCACATAATGGATGGGCTTCAAATCCAATAGATAAAATTACACGAACCCGATTAAAAGAGTCGCGATACGTGCTGCATGAAGGCATGTAATAGCATATATATGTTCAACTTTACTTTTTTATTTCCAACTATAACAAAAATAACATTATGAGTATATCAAATCCTTCCGCCTCGCAAACGCATGTACTCACTACTAGAAGTCTTCCAAAAGAAGGTTCAAGAGAGATAGAGATCACATTAAATAACAATGAACCTTCGGAAAGCATAAAGTCTACCACTAGTACGCCACTATCCTCACCCTCGATTCGTTCGGTGCATCAGTTCACCCACATTCATCAAAAACGTTTATCAAGAACTATACAGCATATTTCATCCTTCTTGCAGATTATTGCAAATGTAACTCCAACAATATCGTTTCCAGTAACGATAGAGAAAACCTTCACCATAGAGCGGTTAGCCCGTCAAATCGAGGCCGAATATGCTTTCAAATTTGGCGGGATCGAGATGGTTGGTCATTATGAGCCTCTTGAAGTAGGTTTGCTTTATGACGTGAGCATGGTAGCCTTACGCTTCCGTGATATTATTGGCGACGTGCTAGAGCATGGAGACGTCATTCATGTGCTGAATATATACGAAGGTGCGCAATATTTTTGTTAAATATTTGCATCATCGCTGGTCAAAACGTTTGATTGGTGGTTAATTAAGATTCATGGTTGCTAATGGGTTACTCCTTCAATGTCTTTATTCTAGATTATTATCCCAAAGATTTCGATGAGAACTCCGATGCCGAATGTTCCAGCTACAATATTGACAAGGATCTTCCACCAATTCCCTCGACCGACAATGTATTACTTCCCAAAAGTTCGCCCAAGGAAAAAAGATTCAGTCTGCCAATCATTTCTCATCACGACAATCTGAATCAATCAGAGGATAATGACCAGGATAATTCAGATCGAATAACTTCTGAGAGTCCTTCACCATCCATTAAACAAATTCAAAATTTTGTTCAGGCTTCAGAGTCGCGCTTCCAAGCCGTACTTGCCAACACCTTGTCCCTTCGCTATTTTCAAAAATTCGCCATCAGAGATTTTTGTGTTGAAAATTTGTTGTTTTGGCTTGATGTGGAACTTTTCGCGGCAGGAATTTCCTGCGACATAGAAGACAACTATTTTGAGCAGCAGCAAACCGCCGTCATTCACGCTAGATATATTTACTTAACCTATATAAGTCCTAATGCACCATTACAAGTTAACTTGAGCGACGAGATTAGGCGAGAAACGACCTGGCCAATAGACGAAGATGCAGATGTTAAAAGAGACATGTTTGATGAGGCACAGGAGGCTGTATATCAGTTGATGAAAGGTCACACCTTTATTCGGTTTGAAGAAAGCCCTGAATGGAAAGAATTTTTAAAAATCAAAGAATCTGGTAAATGTCATCACCGTCAATATGTTAAAAAAAGAATCCGTATAAAGATTAAGCTCATATTTATTTCATAGATCCTGACACATATAAAAGTCATGAGATGACAGAACCTTTAGAGAAATATTTCCGCCCAAACATGTCCCTGATGTTGGCCGTTACCACGAATCTCGACAACGGTTCCGATCAAGCTCCAATCTCTTATCATTACAAAGAACAGACACTCCATTCAATGTTATCTCAATACTTTCCCGAAACATTCCTTGGAAATAAAGGAAAAGGAACAACAGATACGGGACATAAAAATAAAATGTCTGAACCACCAACCCTGGGCGGCTATTTCAACGTCGAAAATAGGATGACCAACGCACAAAGAATGAGGCGACTGAAAAAGGAACGTAAACTTCAATGGATCTTTGGTGCAAAGGTGGGAAGAGTGGAAGACCAAATCGTGGTGATGCCCAAGGAACCCATACATGGAGATTTATTTGATGATGATTCAAAGAGTATGTTCTCAAATTTTTCAGCGAATCGAAAAGCGACCAGAGACGCGTGGAATCGAAAAAGGAAAGTTGATAAGCTGGAATCAATATTGGGTAGAGAGCTGAGAGACTCCCAGACAGCACAGAACCTTTTCAAAAATAAACCAACAGTTATACCAGTGTCACCCCAAAAATTTCCTTCGGGTGACAATTCGTACCTACAGACAGTAAATGAATTGAGCAAAGGCGACAAAAGAAAGTTATTGAAGAAATCAAAGAAACTTCAGGTTATGCTGGGCGAGACTTTGGATGAAGAGATGGTTCGTCAGGCATTAGGTTCAGCTCAGTCAATTCAAACACCTGTATCTGTGTCTAACAACGGTAGGCTGTCGTTCGTCAGCGAGATTGGCGGAGGGCGTAGAAGCGAGGGAACTGGTTCATTTACTAATCGCCGGGCGTCTTCCGATTCGACGGTTCCACCTCCGTTAAAGGCGCCAGGAACGGATGCTCCCCCTTCCTGGAATAATAATAATATGGAAAACGCCACAATGGACATCAAGAATATCCCGCTAGTGATTGTTAACAATGCTACTAAAGACTACAGGCGAAAAAAATTGCAAAAACTGCATCATTTTCTAGGTGAAAGGGTTCCCGTCAATGTGGTGTTTGGAGATGACGATTACGAGTTCGTTCCGTTGCCGCCGATCTCACCGAAATCGAAAAATAGAGTTCAACTAAACTCATTGTCGCTAAGTCAAAAAAGGAGCTCCTATCAGCCTAACGACATTTCTCCAACTAACTTATCTCCAAGAGATAAAAAGCGTCATCTAAATCGAGCAGTTAAATTAGAAAATCTGTTCGGAGAAATTCCCCCCCAAAGTTTATTCTTGTCCGGCTCGCTGTCAGAGAAAGGTGATCTTTGCTCCGACACTTCATCTGAAACCTCGAGTATAGAACTCCATCGAAGGAGTATTATCTCACTTGAATACTTGATGAATAATGATAGAGAAACTGTCTACGATCTTATCAATTACATGGCCGATAGTGACGAAAATAGTGAGGAGACAGACAATAGTAAGGAAAGAGGAAATAATAAAGAGCTTCTTCGAAATACCGCATCATCATCATCAGCACCGGCGACCCCTCACCAAGCAAATTCGCTAAACAAGGATTCCAAGAAAGTGACACTAAAAAGCAATCGTAAATTATCTCACTTCTTCGGTGCCACCTATGGACAGATGTTTCCCGATAAAGTCCTGGGAGAGTTGTTGGGTGACCTTGAGAGGGAGATCGAAGAGTCAAGCAGAAACGGAGAAGTTGATAAGGCAGATGCTGAAGGATTGATTGGTCAACTTAAAGGATTACGTGTGAAAAGTAATGAACTAGGGCCCGTTAATTCTGACGAGGATGATGCTAGTACGGAGGAAGAATCTGCTTTGACGGACGATGAATTGCTGGAATCTATACGCAAGAGGTTGGAACAGAATAGAAAAAAGAGGAGCACCATCATACAAATTTGATTCCTCTAACTTATTTATTTTATGTATTTATACAATTTCACATAACCGTTTTATTACCCCCAAACAACCATGCATTATTATAGATACGTATATGAGATCCAGTGTAGTCAGCCAAAACTTGAGGCAAATGATCTTTTTCATGTTTAAAACATTGTTTATACTTCTCATTTGTTTATAGTTTTACATTGTTTTTCACTAATTTTTTTTTTCTGACGGTATACTTCATTAGCTTCTTGTAGCTTCTTATAAATAAATTTTGTTGGAGATAGTGCTCTGTTGACTGGATTGATACAATCTTTGTGTAAATGTTTATAATTGTATCAATCCAGCTGACGAGTGTTCTTGACTCGCGAAAAAGTTATGACCACGCGCATTAACTCGAGAAACACAAAAATATAAACTATTCAATTAATATAATTAAAAGTTTAAAAATAAAAAAAAAAACAGCATAAATTTTTGTTGACTTTTTTATCAAAAATAATTTTCTTCATTGCTATATACTGTAAAAATCTTAACATTTTTTATATTATTATATTTCTTTATTTTTATATCTTCTTTTATTCATTTTTTCTTTGGAATTTTTTTTTTGTTCTTATAAATAATTTTATTCTTTTTTTTTTTTTTATGCAATTATAGTAATAGTCTTATAAAAAAATTTTTTTTAATTAATCTTTTGATTATATATAAAAAATATTTATATTAAAAATTTTTAACTTTTTAATTAATAAAGTTTTAATTTTATTCTTAAAATAAAAATATATTCAAAAATTATTTTTTTTTTCTTTTGTTTATAATTTACTTTAATCGAAAATTCGATTCTAGTAATTAAAAAAAATCAATTGTAAAGTAACTAAAGATTTTTTTATCTTTAAAATAAGAAAGTTTTATTTATTTCAATTTGATTTTAAAATTTTAAAATTTTTATTTTTTATTAATAAAAATTTATATATAGGTTTGACAATTTTTTTATTTTATAATTTATATTACTAAATTTTTACTAAATAGATAAAGAATTTTTTAATAAATAATTAATAAATTATTAATTGTTTTTTTTTTTTTTTAACTTACAATTATACCATAATGACTTGTCTTTATTGAAAAATTGAAGTAAATCTATAATAATTTATAAACTTTCACAAAGTAATTAATTTATCTTCATTAATCAAAACAAGACTTCTTATGATTGAAAAGTGAATCTGTAGCAAGGGAGGCTACATTTTCAAAACTCTAGGCATACCTTTCTATAATCACTAGCTACTTTACCAAGCCATATGAATGGAGAAGAGGTAGTAACGTCGGGAATTTTATCTGACAGCACTAAAAGTATAAGGTTTTACTTGCTGAGGGTCTAGACTGACATCATGTTGATCAGAAGTAAACAGCTAGATAAGAGCTTTTGCTTTGAATACTTGATAATACCACCACTACTCAACTCAAGAGATATGATAACAAGACATCTTCTTGTTTTAATTTTCTTCCAAGATTCCACCAAAAACCGTGGTCAGCTTACCCTCTCCAAAAGATTAGCATAGGATGATCGTGCCTTATTAGGATTATGGCCCCTAATAAGAAAAGACCCATGGCCTATATCTTGACCCAAACTGATTTCCAGGCCTAGTGTAACAAAAAACCTGTTTTCCCTAACCAAACTGTCACTTACTACTCTAGCTTGAAATATCTCAATCTGGTACTTGCTTAAATGAAGAACTTACCGAACAGGTTTTATTTGTGATGCTGCAGGTGGTGACAAAGAAGAAAGAAATCTCTTCTGAGATTCAAGTAAAAAGTATCAGGGTATCTAAGTGGTTAAATAACTCTTGAGGATTCAATCTAGTGTATAAGTTAATATAAATATTAAGTTCTTTTGTAAACAGATATGCTAACTATATCAATAGTGCCATTTTGACTGTTATCAATTACCGGCCTCTAGTTAAGTCTACCTCATTTTCAGAGTGATGTATAGGCTTAACTAGGACAAGTCGTGATAGGTTATTATTAATCTGCATGTATATAGAGATATATAGTTTGTAAGAGATAATTGGTGTCATGCCAAAGGACCCAGGTCCAAGTTTAAGATAATTCTTAATAAAAGGCTCGCATCTAATACCAGTTGCGGTTAATAAAAAAAAAATAAAATAAAAAAAAATAAAAAATAAAAATTTAATATTAATTTATTAATAATTTATCAAAAATTTATTGGCTATTTATCAAAACTATTTATTAAAAATTTATCAACTATTTATTAAAACTATTTATTAAAAATTTATTAACTATTCATTAAAAATTCAACAACTATTTATTTATAATTTAATAAAAATTTATAAAGCTTATAAAAAAAATTATTTATATTTATAAATTATTTGATATTAATATATATATGTATATATAAAGATATTTACAAGATATTTTTGACTTTCACATACTAACTTATCTGTCATCAAAAAACTATTTCTCTAGATATAGCTTAGAAAATGATATTTTGCTCCTTTATTGACTTGAATAAATCTTCTAACCAGTAAAATCATTGCTTACAAATCATTATTGTAGATTATTCTAAATTCCAATTACAGTTAAAAATCAAACTACAATATTTTCTTTCATGACAAATCCAATTTTTAATGATTTTCATATACTTTGTTTCCTCCTTTCTTTCAAAAACTTTTTGCTCTAGGTCTTCTAGAAATATAGATTCTTTCTATTCTTGTATGATCTGTATATTGAATCTATGCTTGGATATTTTTATTTTTTTGTTCTTTTTAGTAATATTCTGCTTCTTTTTCCACTCTATTACTTTTTTGCAGCAGCTGTTCCATATATTCTTCTTGAAATTTTTTCTTATCTTATAACAAAGCTTACTTATTATGTTTTATATAACTATCAGAGGAATTTTGAGTTATACTTTAAAGTAATTCTTTAAGAAAGTGGTTTCATTCTCTTCCATATATTCACAAATAATATTGAAAAACTTTTTTTAAATTATTGAATCTTGTTTAACTATTTACTTATTTAATTATTGGTTATAGAACAAACTTCTTCTTTGTTTTTAATTTTTTTTACTAATATAGCAATTGATCTTTTTTTTTGTTTTTCTTCATATATCTTCTCTGATTTCTTTAGTGATCAGATATTCAAACTAGTGTCTTAATGTTTCTTCTTAAAGTTTACATATTGAACAAGTAATTACAGTATAAATATCTGGGTTTTTTTTCTTAAGTATCTGTAATACTGAAAATTCATTATGGATTAGATTAGTCAAGAAACTTTTGTCTTTATTATCTTTAAAGTAATATTAAAAATATTGAATGAATTGAACTAATTTTGAAGGTTAATTAGTCTATGATTTTGTTATTTTAGATGAATTCTTTTTTATGTCATCCAATCTTTTCCAAACTTTTTTCTATTGAACATTTTGATAAATTCCCTAAGTTTTCTTACATATACTATTTAATAGGTGAATGGATTTTGCTTTACTTTCTTTTAATAAGTCAACAAAGTTTGAGTCTTTAAGAATTTTGTATTATTTACATATCCAAAAAATTTCACACAACTCTTTCCGCTGATCCTCTGACCACACACAAAAAAGATGTTCGCAAGAAGTTTTTATACTTCTAGGCTAATAAAGTCTTACCACTTTCTTTAAACTGACTTGAAAAAGTTTCAAGAAACACCTACCATTTTCCCTTCTCTTGCTTACTATTTTCTTCAAACAAAAACTTGACCTCTAGTGACCTTAAAGGTCAAGAAACACCTTTCCTACCTATGGCAAGAAAGTTCTGAAAGGAAGAAAAACTAATGTGCTGCTATCTCACACCATAGAGAAATACTACAGAAGTGTTATAATGATGAGAGACAATTTTTCCACTCTCTTGTCATGTGTTTACTTCTCATAGTGCTCATTCTTGGTTTTCTTCTGGGGAATTTTGCCTACCTCAGTTTGACCCTGAATTTTGAGTAGCACAAAGTTTCTCACACTGTGATTGGGCAGACAGAGCTCATATTAGTAAAAAGAAGTAAACAAGTTCCTATTGGTTACTCCACGTGTTCAAATGCATTTCCTCAGCTCCATAAGAACCTGAGGTCCACCATAAGTCATTGTGTTGGTGCAGGTGGATAATGAACACTGTCTACTCCTATATCTTTGGCTAAGCGAAAGAGAAAGAATATACTCTTCCCTTTTCTCTATCAAGAAAGAAGAAAGAAGATCAGGCTTAAAGGAATACAGAACAAGGATGACACCTTAAATATTGGGAGATCAGGAAGATCTTAGGATCACTTGTACCTAATCGATAACACCAACATACAGTCGAATGACCTCGTGGCTGAAGAATACACCACAATGGAACATTAGACAAATGGTTCAATTTCTACAGATGGAGTTACTTTGAGAAAACAGCATGATATTTATCAAGTTCAACAAGGTGCATGCTGGAAGTACCAAGATTCTCCTTTTTAGGCTGGAATTATCGCAATTATAAAGAAGGACAGATTGTTGGATGATGGGTCCCTAATTATTTCAGTGCCCATTCACTTTCCCCTATATCCTAGAGCCCTCTAAAATCCCCGACTTATCATCACCCAGAAAAATATCTGTAAAAGATCCCATACTGGATAGAGTATAGAAGGAAAAGGCAAGAACTGACAGATAAGGATCACAACATAGAGGTACTGAAAACAGTGAAGGAATAGGCATCACGCCTTGAACCGATGAAGCCCTCGAAGAGTAATCAGGTTACGGTATCAATATGGTAGTAGTAGCATGGCTTCAAGTCACCCATAACCAAACCATTTCCTCTTCTCCGTCCGGTGCCTTTTTTGTATGTGGTCAGAGGATCAATGGAAAGAGTTTTGCTTGATAAATGACATATTATGTATTATATTATAGTTTGTATTATTCATAATTTATCAATATAACCTCAATTCAAAAAATTTTGCGTATAAGTTTATCAATTTTTTTACTTTATTGTTGAAGAATAGTTGATGAATTTTAAATGAATAGTTAA